CGTGTGTGAGAGAGTGAGTGAGAGAGAGAGAGAGAGAGTAATAGAGATAGAGAATAATAGAGATAGATCTACTGATAGAAAACAAGGAGGCGATACTTTGTTCTCTTATATATAGTGTGAGCTGTCAACAATGGTATCAGTTCATTTTGGGAGGTGGGAAATATTTGCATGTACTTACTACGGTTTGTTATCTTTATATAGATGGGTGGGTGGGTGCTTTGTTAGAGTAAAAGATGGGGGTGGGGGTGGTGTTACTATATTTAGAAATGAGGGTGGGAGGTGGGGGTTGATCTGAATCATTTTATCAATGGGAGAGTGTAACAACAATAATAATAGGGGAAAGAAAGCAGACGTTGAAGCATGACATGTGCTGTAGTTTCAGCCAAGTCGTAGGCCTCGTTCGTCTGAGCCTGTGTTTTCACCACAACAGCACAAGGCCGGGAAGTAAGATCAAATGGAGAGGAAAAGCAACAGTTCTCTACTTTGTTACTACAATCTTCTTATTTGCTCAATATCTTAGGCCCTTTAGTTTTGTTTTGAGAAATTTGACGTAGAAAATTTTAAGTTTCTCAACATGTCAAGCTTTTTAGAATGAAGTTCTTTGAATATTATTATCTCGATAAAGACTCTGAATAATCTAACAATTTTGATAGAGCAGATAAAACATATTATTGGTTTCAGGCCTGTTGGTCTTTCAAACTCAATACGACCAAAAAAGTCAGAAAGAACTTTGTAATTCTAAGAAAACGATTTTTCATTGTCTGAGCAGTCCTGCATTGACAGGAATGACGATTTAAGAGCAGATTTTAAAAAAGAATTAACGTACAAGAATTTATACTAGGATGCTCCTTACGAGGCACACGAAGACACGGATAATTATGAAGGTATCAATGAAATTACGATGATAATTACTCTATTATTCATGTTGTCGTTCTTTTGGTAGTGGAGAATGGAGCTGCTTCGTGGGTGGTTGGCGGGTGCTCTGGTGTAGTTTGCTTCTTCTTTCCTATGAAACATCTATCCTCCTTATCTCCCCTCCTCCTTTTTTGTGTTTGTTACTCCATTGTAACACCTCTAATCTTCTGGTGTTCACATTACCTTATGCAGTTGCGAGCGCCGTAAAACTCTTACTAAATAAAGTGCTGCTTCTACTGTGCATAATATCATCTAAACCGATATCCTGATCTTTCTCTCACTGGCCCTGCAAAGATCCACACCGGCCTCCAACATTCCATCATTCACCCAGAACAACCCAACGGCCTTCCCCTGGACAGCCCAACAATGGCGGACAAGATGAAGGAAGCCGGTTACGCCACACACATGGTGGGAAAATGGCACCTGGGATTTTACAAGGACGAGTACTTGCCCTGGAACAGAGGATTCAACACCTACTTCGGTAAAAGGGCGATATAAATATAAGCCAACAACATCAGTAACAGTCTATCTTGAGTCTGGGATATTATATTTCTAGCAAATTTTTAAATGTGTGTGTATTTCTATTTCCCGAACTTTACCAGTGTGTATGTTTGCTTTTGTGAAATGTTTTTGTTTTCAGTTTTGAAGCTTGTTTTAGTGCAACCACCCAACGCTTTTTGACATCAAAACAACCATGTACTAATCAACTTATACCTTGTACAGAATCAGTCTGTTCAATAAAGAGGAGTCAGTATTCATAACACAGATGCATTATACACTTACTTTACTGTACCTTACTGTTCCGATCCAGCGGCCATTTGAGTTCAAGCCTTTCGGCCTTATACACAAAAAGTATTGGCCATAAAATGTGTTTTTTGTAACCGAATTGGAAAAGTCACTGAGTTATAATGGTGACTATGTGGATGAGAGTGAGGAAAT